AACACTACCAACTCAACAGCAGCAGAAAAAAAGAAATGACCTGGAGATGATAAAATAATTTAAACACAGAACGACTCCAGGCACAAACAGTTGTGTAACTATCAACCAAACTGCAGCAGCGTCTCTCAAAAGTCCACAGGCGGCAGGAATCAGGAGTAATATCCACAGGCTAGCAAGCTAAGGGCAGCGAGTGTATACAAGAGCTGGTATCAGCAGCAGCCAAACTCAGACAAGCACTGAACAGTCTCTTAAGTTAAACTTTGTCACACGGTACTCAAATGACTCTGTAACACTATTTGAGGTTGTAATACTTTCACTGATATGACTTGCAGTTAGTTTGGTGACATATAAAAGCCGTTGGTGGGAGAAGGTGAAAGCTTTTGTCATGTTGGACTTTAGAGTGTGAACATAAGGTTGTTTCCTGGAGGCAGAATGACAGATGTGAGAGTGGTATCGATCTTCTCATCTAACTCTTGGCAGGAAAGTGCATATTTTGCAATTTGTCAAACAATTATGTCAAGAGTGAGATTAATTGAGCAGACTGGGTTCTTCAATGTAACATGTTATTTATATCAACATACTAAAGCTGGACTTATGGGTGCAAACAGGAATATCACAAGCTTCACTCCCCCCCACCCACCCACCCATCTACTGTCTCTCTCTGGCCTTCACTTCAACCTATCAAAAGCCAAACAGGGAAGTGGCCAAGCAGCAGCTCTGAAGCAATATATCCTGCAGAGCTCTTGTCAGCTAGCTGAACATACTGAGGTAGTGTTTCTTTCTTTGGACAACCCCTATTGGCTAAAAAAAAAAAATCAAACATCACTTTCCAGTCTTGGTCTATAGCTATATTTAGCTTTGCAAAAGAGCCCAGTGTAAACAAGAGCTGCTTGGCTTTCAGACTGTGGCTGACCTTTTGGGGATGGATGTACAGGTAGTGGGTGGGATACCCAGGGTAATACTTCTCTACTTGACATCAGAGGAAAATATTTCTGCAGAAAGGAAATGGTTTGAACCTGGGGGTGATTATGTGTCCTCCAGGGCCTGATTCCAGATACCCCTCACCTAAAGCCCTCACACAGCGATGCCTCACAGGCTCTACAAGCAACACAGCCACCCAAACAACACCTCATGCCTGTCTCACCTCTCACCTGTCTAACCTATAAGTCAGCTAGAAGCGATTGTGTGTTTTGGTGTGCTTTTTAGTGACAATATGAGAAAGAGTGAGTGCAACATTAACTATTCCAAATACATAATTCACCTGTCCTAAAAGAAAACAAGCGGTTGTAAGAGGTTTTTTACTGTCTAAGAGTTTAAAAAAAAAAAAAAAAAAAGCAAATGGAAAGGCATAGCAACTCAGTGACAGTCATGTTCTAGCTGGCTGCTGCAGGTCTCCAAAGTCCCACCGCTGTTTCCTCATATTCCCAGCTCCATCCGTCTGCCTGGAACCAATGTTTACATATCTGAAATGTCTGTCCTCCAAATAAAGCCATGGCAAAGTGAGAGAAGACTCTGGTTAGGCAGGGCTGGAGAGGTATGCTCCACTATGACTGAAGCATTGAACAATTTCTGTTGGGTTTAACCTATGAGAAATGAATATTCTTACTGTTGTCTGGAATACATTTGGTCCTATTCAGGGTGTTAACTTTCTCCATTAATCTGTGATAATAACTATTAAGAAAAAAAAACAGACTCAGGCCAATGGCAACAAGACTTTAAGGGTTTCACTCACCTCTGCAAAGTGAGGAAGAATATGGAGGAACTGCAGACTTTTAAAAAATGGACCCAGCCTCTGCAGGCATGATTGTGGGTACTTTAATCTAGACGCTGTGTCACAGCCTGGCAGACAACTCCTTCTGGACAGAAGTGAATAATTCAGGATCAGTACTCTCCTGTTATTTACTTGCTGGAGTCTTGAGCTGCACAGATATAAGGTCCAAAAAAGATAAAAAATATGAGACCTAACTCTTTTAGCTGCCAAGAAAAACTGGAAGATTTACAAACATTTTTTTCCCCCCAATATATTTTACCTACACAGAACTGATTAAATTTGGCCAACAGTAACTTAAGAATCTGACTTTTTAACATGTTTTACCATATCAAATAATTATAATGCCACAGAAATGTATCATTTCCATGCAAAGAGCCTGTAAAATATTCAGTAACTATACAAAATGGATCTTAAAACCAAACGGCACTGAACTCTGATGTAGTAATCTTCCAAAACCCTTATCAAGAGTAAAGTACCTGGCAAGGTTGCTACAGCGAGTCTTAGCTAAAGCTGCATTTCACAATAAAGGAATAGATATTTTGTTGAACCATCATTGTGGTAATTCAGTTTGTTATTCCACATAACCAAATGAAGCAGTTAAATCTAAACATTCAATCAAAAACAGCTAAAAACGGATGAACTAGCCAAAAAATAACTAGCATGATTGGTTAAGCTTCCTTAAAATATTTAAATGTATTATATTTTAGATTAGAGATGATTATATTGTATATTTTTATGTTGCTTTCAATATAAATGTTAATATATTTGTAGATACTGCATTTCTCCCTTTTGTTCTCCCTAGATTGTCCAAAGCCAAGTGCAGTGTATTTATAATATGATGATGATTTGGGGGTAAAATAATCACTGTAAAACATGAAGGTATTACAACCTTTCTATCAGTTATGTCATTTTCTCTACGTCACTGCTTCTGTGCTCCTCTCTTCCTCGGCAGGCGAGACCTGGTTAACTGATTCCATGAATTTTCTTGGTACCGAAAGAAACAGCAGATATGTTAGGTAATAATAATTATGTCTCAGACTGATTTGGGCTCGAGTGAAATATTACAAATTTGCATTTAAATGAAAGATGATCAACACTCAGACGCCCTTATTGCTGAGAAGATACCTCTCTTTTTCTTTTCTTTTTTTTTGTGAGTGTGTACCCGAGGAGATTTTGGAACTGGTTTCTGTTACAGGTCAGGTAGATCCTATGATTACCAGTGCAGATTATTAACTAAACAGTATGTTTAAGATGTGTTACTGAGTTTTGTCTGGTACTGTACACTGTTGGTCCATAATGAGTAATCCTATATAAATGATTTTATACATCTATAGGGGGAAAAAGTGATCCATCTTTTTTGGGATTTTTTGCCTTAGAGAAATGTCACATTTCTACCATGATGTCAATATCATAATTAGACTTGAGTACTCAGGCATTTCTAAAAGTAAGAAGAAAGCCAAATCTCCCGTCTTATCTCTTCCACTGGCAGCTGTTATAATGGGCGGACATGTGTATGAGTTCATCGCTGTGTCTGTGATCGCCGGCTTCACACACAAAGCTTTGATCACTGCCGGGCTCTCTCCTGTCTATACAAAGACCAATGACTTTTCAGCAGCATTAATGGGCACATGAAGGACGATCGCCATCTGCTTTTAAGCAGCTATATAAACCCACAGAGGTTAACAGTCGGTATCAAGCTGAGATCTGACTCTTTACAGGTATGTTGGATTGATCGCAGATCAGATGCTGTCTGGTATTGAACAGAGGCCACCTCAGAGAGGAGGCCTCCTCAGATGGAGGCCACCTCTCTGGAGACAAAGAGGAAAAGAGGAGGGAGAAGCTTCTGCTATCCTGAGCCACACAGACATCATGCATTATTGATTATTCATCTGGGGAATTCCAAGTTGAAGGAGGACATGAAGGCATACGGGGAGAAATGGGCTCCTGTGCCACAAATAAAACAAACCACACATTTCACCAATTCTGTTGTTTAGAGTGTACCAGACGTGGTGTTTGCACTCCTGAGATCAGAGCGGTGCAGGGGAAATAACAGCCCTAACACCTTAGAGCTGAAGGATTTCCTATTGGGCTCCATTCTCATTACTGCACCCCACCGACACCCTGAGCACATTAAGCCTGTCAGTCACCTGTTCCTGCATCGCGGCGACAGTGCACACTGCAGAGACGAGCTTTGTAGGCTTGAGGAAAACAGAGAAGAAACAGCTCACTGTCAAAAGACTCGCCGCGAGCAGAACAACTACGAGAAGGTGACAGAAAAGTCTCAAAGAGCCCTGAAAGTGTTACGCATGTGGGAAAGAGTTTGAGAGACATGAATTGTTAATGGAAAATGTGAGACGTAATTAATGCAGAGAGAAAAAGGGGCAGAAGAGAAGAGCAAACAGACTATTCCTGTTCCCATTCAAACCAAAAAGATGAAGTGAACAGCGTTACTTTTTTTTTAAAAATAGGTCTATGGCTGCATTGTTACTCTGTGGTTTGAATCCATCTGTGAACTGCTTGTTATGATTTCGTTTTTTGAAGCCAGATCTTCCCTGAGTGCATTCAACCCAGTGAGTGGATAAAAATGTTTACTGTGCTGCCGTGACGGCAACTTACACTGAAGAATTACATCAACAAAGAAGCCAGCAGGTGAAATACATGCAATTTCAGGAGTAAAGCAAACACAGACAGATTACACACACAGTCTGGATTTAAGAAAAAAAAAAAAAAACACAGGTAAGTGCTTCTTCAACTATTCCTCTTTATTATTTTTTTCTTCCATGTGTTATTGCTGTTATAGCTCCCTGCCACATGTGATGTTGAGAAAAGCCTCGTCTCTGGGTGTAAAAAGGTTTGTGTGCATTTTACACCTGCACCTTTACACCCCCCCTCCTCTCACACCGCAGCTGCTTTTCCTCTCCCGTCCGTTTATTGTCACTTCTACCTCTCATAGGTTACAATAGTGCGCTTCATTGAATAAAACACTATGATCGACGCAGTACATTCTTGCCACATTAATGTAAAATAAAAATGGGAATTTGAACATCTACATGTTCAGCTCCAGGGCAAAAACAAATTATTTTCACTATCAGTTCATTTGCTTGTTATTTTCCTTGTTGATTTATCACTTCTTCTATAAAATGTCAGTTCAAAACCTAAACATATTCAGTTTACTAAATATATGAAAAAACATATATTATCAAATATTTACATTTGAGTTAAACTTCTGTTTAAATTATTTCTGTCAACTGATTAATCAATTAATCGTTCCAGCTCTATTCATCTCATCTCATTTCCATACATGTTTTCAGCACTTAAGAACAATGGCAGTTGTTTAATGATATGTTGCGTTTGCATAAACATATATTGATTTAGGACTACATCTAATGACTAGCTTTAATTATTAATCTGCTAATTATTTTCTTGATTAACTGATTGATCGGTTGGTCTATAAAATCCGAAAGTAGTGAAAAATGCCCGTTACATTTTCCCAGAGTCCTCGGTGACACACTCCCCGCTCAGACAGGTGCAATCCAAAGCTCTCAAGGCCATTAGCTCACAGAGGGTTTGCTTTCATTCAATGCAATAATCCCTTTGTTTTGAAGGACTGCAATCTTGCTACATACAAAATCAATACAATACAGAACACAAATTCCCTTTAGCTATTCGGCTAATTTTTCCAGCACTGCTTTAAGACCTTTTAGTCTAAAAAACCCAAAATACAAGTAGCACAAAACATTCTCTAACCCACTCAGCTCTGATAATATAATACCCTACTACACAGCCACATGTGGATGTGCATAAACCAAAACACGACTACATCTGCTCACTTCTATCCTGCCCTTTCCCCTTTACTGACTTTCTTATTCTTTTCTTTCTACCCATCATCCACTCAGGGGATTTTCAGAAGGCGAGGCTCTTCCCAACATCACCAACATTTGCTCTGTGAAATCTGCAGAAAATGGCATTTCCACAACAGTTTGCACCACAGCGAAGCATCATACAAAATAATGTTTTAAAGTTGACTACTAGCAAAAATAAAATGTGTCCCCTCATTGGCTTACAGTAAATGATGTGTGACTTTAACAGTGCAAGAGCTGCTACATGTATTCTGCTTAACATTCTAGTCACTAAAAAGTAAATTAGATCATTAATTTCATTACAAAAATACTAAATCTGTCCATTGGCTAATAATTTATACAATAGATTATTTTTCAGTTACTGGCAATGCTATGTCTGGACTGTGTCACAAGTGGACAGAATAATTATAAAGGTCCTGAAATGGAGCCCAGTGCAAACATAGGAGGGTCTGACAGTTAAGTATTGCATTAAAAGCTGATTGAAGAACATAGTGAAAGGTCTCCAAGGTGATACCAGCCTATCCTCCTAACTCCGCTGTGGGACATTAGGATCTTCCTGGCTGCTCTCCAGCAGCTCATCCTCAGAAAAACTGATGTGGAGGCAGGTATCATTCACAGGAGATGAAAAGGGCAGTGGGTGCTCATAGGTGTCCGACTGCGGGGCGAGGTTGGGGGGCTCAGCAGGATACGACTCAGAGGGAGAGAGAACTGCTTCGCTCCTCTCTTCCAGGGGACTGTCACAGCCGCTGGAGGCTGTTAAAAAGGTCCCGCGGTCTCCGAACAGGTCGTCGTCGTCACGCAGGGGCAACAGCAGGGACTTGGTCTCGGAGCGGACCCCCGAGTCCTCGCTGGCCGAACAGGAGCTGCTCTCGCCGTTGCTGAGGGAGTGGAAATCGGCGGATGACAGGGAGCTGGGGGTGATGTCGGGGAATGAGAGGCTGCTGCTGCGGCTGGGGGTCGCATCATTAGCGGTGACCTCTCCTGGCATGGGCACAGCTGTGACTTCTGACCCTGGAGACAAGGTCCTGCTGGCCCGCTTACGGTTCAGGGAGGGTGGAGGAGGGTCAAGTTTGGGGATTGTCTGTTTATACCTGCAAGTAAGAGAACAGACACGCTGGTTAGTGAAGTCTGACAAAAAGGTTAACATGCTGAGAATTCCTCAGTGGATCCATTTGCTAACTCAGATTCAGCATCATTTCTTTGTTCCAAGGAGTACGAAAATAAGCCTTAAGCCACTTTTCCTCTCTATCAGTCACATTATACCCCATTAACCTGAGCATACTGTGACGTAAGCTGTTACTAGACAAGACAGTAACTCTCTCTTTCTCTCTGGCTGCCTGTTGTTTCAGCTGTCTAGGGACTTATCTACATCCCACAGCTCTCATGCTGAGAAAACACAGGGACAGGGGCAGAAAGAGAGCCAAAGCAAAAAAGAGTTGAGGGGTAAGGAAGCGAGGAAAGAGCTGCAGGCTTTCCCCTCCCTTCACTCGAACATACACACCAGAAATAGCTACACTGCAGTCTCCCTGATGGTACCACAATAATGCCACGACAAGCTCCAGTGCGCACAACCACACACAATCACAGTCATTCTCTTGGAAAATGAGTCCTGACACACACTTGCTAACAAGCTTCACTTCCTCCCTGACTCCTCCCATATACATTATACTGGTGGCTGCTAACTTCTTTCCCCTGTGAAATCTGGCCTGTGGTTGAATCCTGGTCTTAGTAATGAACTTATGTGACTTGCTGATATATTTACTGTCTCTGCTTCTGTACGAGGATGGTGTTAACAACTATAGTAATGACAGGCTTGTTGTAATGGAGCAGGGAAACCATAATTATCTGCTGTGTCCTATTCTAACAAATGGAGGAGCACACAGAGCACTGCACAGTAAAAGTCAAGGCAAGAACTCCACTGACTCCAATGGCATAAGCGGTATCATTAGTTATAACACACACCCATGCTGCCTAGAGGATGAACCCTACTGACTTGGTAATCCCCTGACTTTATTCTCTACCCCCACCATGACACAATTATACAGACCTTCATGTGTCCATAAGTATAAATTGTGATAAATGTGGTGTTCCCATGATTTTACATCTAGAAAAGTCTATCGTCAGAGCAAAATGTAAACGTGTCTGAAGCTTTGAGTTAAAGACCAAATATTTGCAACACTAATCCTATTCATTTTCAGCTGTTTGGCATTAATTAGCAAACTTTAGCATGCTAAAATTCTAAACCAAGATGGTGAACGTGCTAAACATTAACGTTAGCGTTATCATTGTGAGCATGCTAGCATGCCGGCATTAGCATTTAGCTCAATGGACTATGACAAGTCTACTCTAAGTCTCAAAGAGCTGCTAGCATGGCTGCAGACTCTTGGTCATGTTTTTAAATTTAACATGTCTGCTGTGGAAAGTACGAAACTACAAAAAGAAGATTTGCTGTGTGTTCAGCTGTCCAAATATTTTATGAAAGAATAACTGGATTTCAGTTTTTAGCTGGCTAGCTAGTTAGCTGCTAGCAAAGATACAGTTTATCTTGTTATTGCCTATGAAGCCAGTTGGGATGGATGGCCACTGTAGCTAAACCTTAGCAAATACAGTTCAATGCATATAAGGCCTGGTCATGCTGCCAAGTGTGAGGATTCAAGGAGGCTTTGATCTGATATAATTAATAACTACAAGAAACATGAGTGGCACCATATAAGTAGGGAAAACAGCTGGACTCCTGAGCGCGCCATGGCATAGATGAAACTGCCCATCAAACCAGTGGGTAAGAGTATAAAGGTAAAAGGAGCTTAAAGGTATGAGGAAGAAACAACATTTTTTTTGACTTGAGGAAATTATAATAGCCAACATAGCTCTCCTGAAGCCAAATGAAACCCTTGAACACTTTAATACTTCCTTAATACTTCCCCTGGGGTAACAGTGTCTTTGTGGTTTATACACACAAACGGCACAGTTTAAAGTTTGACTCTGCTGTGGTCTCATGTTATTTTTGCATGTGTGCTTTCCCAGGATGTGGAGATTAATTTGCATCCAGATCAAGACTCAGGCTGCTTTCTTTCCTTCCCAGACTCATTATCATAACTTCAAGTCAGCAACTCCTCTTGTCTGTCACAATGTCTCCGCCTCACTGCCCCATCTCTCTCTCCTCTGTTTTTACTTTCCATCTTTCTACCACTATTTATTATTCTGTCTTTGTCTCTCCATTCATCTTGCTCTAGTCTCATTCAGCCTACCTGCCATGCATCTCAGCAACTGGTTGTTTTCCTTTAGCCTCGTTTTTCCAGTAATTTGGAAATTCTGTCTCACACAACTACAAAATAAACAAGGACAGATGAATTGGCATAAATGTCAATTCCATCCACTTATTTTAATAATTCATACCATATTTGTGCAATTTTGGAGATCAATATTTGTAGCCTCTCTGTTGCAAAGACCAAGAACAGCAATGTTATTTGGAGCTTTAAGAGCTAAATTTGGTTTTCTTTTCTATTAGATTACTTGCTTTAGTGATTTTATGTTGTTTACAGTCCACAGAACTTTTAAAATTCCACTCCTCTGACAAAGCAGAGTTAATTCCTCCTTAAACATATTTTTGCAGAATTTTCCTCTTTTAGGTGCACAGGGCGGAAGACCAGCTAAGGCCTGGGATCACACTTCTGACAATGATATGGCCCACAGTCCTCAAATCTTCCAGTGCTTATTATACCATGAGTGTGGGACTTAAGCTCTCCAACTAAAGGAGATTATTGGGAGCTTGTTCAAGTCAGGTCATTTACTACAGCTCTCATTTACTTATATTATTGCATATGACTGCTGGAGAAGAATATCTACAATATTCCAACCATTTTGGCAGCCGCTGCTTTCAGTTCAACGTGAAATAAAAATGGACTTGCAGAGACTTTAGGTAATCCGCCACAGCGAGAAAATCATTGGGTTTTTGTTTTCAAGGTAAGATTATTATTTTGTGGTAATGCAGATGAAAACAGATTATTTTATGTCTTCTAAAGTGGTGTGTTTAAGTGTGGGTGGAAAGCTCTGACATCAGGGAATAAGCTGCTGCAAAGCAACATTTGTCATGTACAAAGCCACAAAATTCACATTATCCTCTTTACTTGATCCTCATTTGGTAATAGTTTGTCTTTCTGGTTTATTATTTTTTTCTGCTTGTGATTAAAATAATTTTCCAATAACTTTTTATTTATTTAAATGCTATTTTTGTGAACTATTGCCACCGACAGAATCAAATGGGTTTATTTGCTTATGCTGCTCTTCTACTGGCTTCTGGTCAAACATGAAGCAATACAACATGTGAGACCTCTGATGCTGTATGCCTGAGGCTTGGCTTATCATATCCTCCATCTGGAAGATGGTGATTTGGTAAGATCCAGTAAACCAAAACATGCACATGACAAGAACAAACACCACCGTGACACAGTGAGCGTAAGACAGGTACATCAAAACGTACTTCCCTCCTGCTGCTGCTCTGACAGTTTTACTGTTCAGGATGAACCATCACTGACAAAAACAATAAAAAATCTTGACAAAAATATTTCTGCTACTCTGACTAAAGTGCGAGAGGCAAAACAAGCGCTCATAGTCCAGCAAAGTGTGGAAAAAACAGACAGTGCTACCGTGCACAAGACATGTGTGATTCACCGATTACCTCAATGCTAATGTGGTTCTGAATTTGCAAAACCACATCCGCATGTAAAGGTAATTATGTAGTCATTAGCAGAGAAATCACTGGTGAGACCCACACATGAGCCAGCTTACACCCACACTGTTCATCCACCACATGCCTACTCCCATGCTTGTGCCATAGACACCGGTTCTGCATGCTGGTTGTCATGAGTAATACTCACATAGAGGGAGGAGAAGGGGCAGAGAGGAGAAGAGGAAGAGGAGGAGGAGAGGAAGGGGGGCTTAGGCAGTGGCAGAGAGCGCCCCAGGCTCCTAGGGAGAGGCAGGTTGTAGCAAATGATGAGAGGGAGAAGGATGGGGGACGGGGCAATGGAAGGCATGAGCTGGGGGGTTTAAGGGGGCTGCTGCTGGTTGGGGGTTATTCTGGGGGCTCAGTTTGTTTGTTTGGGCAGACTGAGAGGAAAATGAGGGATGGTTAGATGAGGAAGAGGATGAGCAGGAGCGGGTCCTCACACCTGTACCAAAGAGAGGCAACAGTTAGACTACAGAGGATCAGGGAGCTACAGTGGGTAAGGGAGCTTTAAAGCCACTACTGAACATTTACAACTAGGCACTCCCAATGGTAGTATCCAAGAAGATAGATCCAACCTGGGAATACTGAGAGGAGTGGGCTGAAAGCAACACGTAGACTAAATTTGTCATCATTTTTCTACAAACAACAATGTTAAAGCTGACCATTTTCCAAAGCCTATCAGAACATTTTATATTGATTTCCCACTTTTCAGCCAGCCACTGGTTTTCAACTATTTCAGTAGCCTTTAAAATCCACTTGTAGAAACCTGAAATTTCTTGAGACAGAATATGTCACAGCTCTTCATTGGTGGTGCTTACAGGAAAGTCTGACATCTTAGACTTGAAGATTGGCAATAGTAAGAAAAATACCAAGTGTTGTCGAAATCTCAGTGGTTTAAAAAGATCTTTGGAGTTTGGACGAGGACATTGACTGCAAACAGCAAAGTTTACCAAATTCACATAATCCTTTTTTGTCTTCAATGATTTAATGTCTAGCCACATGCAGAAGCAAATCATTGCACAGCTGGTCACTGCTAATTGTCAAGTCTCAGACGCTGGAGATTCCCGCAAACACCTAAATGCTCAGTAAATGCAAAACAGTCAAAACTGTCTCGGCTTTCAGTTGCAATGTCACTGAGAGATGTTTCTCACATCTAAATATAAATGTTCCCTATGGTGGGTTGCCTGAAACTCCTTCACTTATTACACTAAATATATACCTTCTTCAGCCTACTCTGTACACACAACACTGCATGTCTGTCTGCTCTGGAAGATTTCCTTCACAAAATTGAAGGATTAGGGACAGTGTTGTAGTTGATGTATGTTGTTGTATGTCCTTGTACTTTTATGTTAAGCTTCTATT